GCTAGGTGCCGCACCCTACTCCTGGATTGCCATACAACACCTCCCAGCCAGCTCTGACGGAACCGCAACGCATACTGACAGCCGGCTTGCAGCGGGACCCTGCTAAGCCCACAAAGGGCATTGACTAAGCGGAGACTCAAGATGACATTTTGCTACATTACCTTGTCGTCCTCCTACCGGCTGTATGTCCCAAAGTGACAGACTCTCCACTAAAGCCATTATGTGGTGTGGGCCGACAGCCTCTACAGGGTTCCATGCTGATGGGCACTACATAGTTACCTTACTCCTTGCCTGCTTCGGCACCTCTACTGAAGCAACCAGCAGAACATAATCATAAATGTTGTTTAGCATATAAATGTTGTCTAGCATATAACTGCTGTTTAGCACATTTTAGCATGCTCAATAAAGGGAATATTGGGATTTGCATTTAACAATGCTCCACTTTAACCTTAGGCAGAAAAGAGTTTTGCTAGCTTGTTTGAGACCAGCGGTCACCTTCTAATACCGGCTATATATTAAACTAAATGTCTAACTATCGAACCAATCCATATAGCTAAACGTAATCTCAGTGCATAGGCTCTGTCTTACACTTATCAATTTAATTATTGTCTGCTAGCCTAGTGCGGTTAACTTCGTCAATATCTATTATTATAAAAAGCGCACGTTTTACCTCCTACCCAATTGTAATCCGTGATGCTAAGCCTGAGGAATGCCGTTGGGGTACCTCAAGCATGTCTGTACTAATCTTTGCATGACAAAAATACAAAAAAGGGAGACATAATAATATTTTATGAAGTCCAAATACTAAAGTGAGTGAGCGGATTTTTAAACAACGCGTTGCAAGTCTGACTCTCACCTTGTGTAGTGTACAGTAGCAGCAGGCTTGGATCGATGGAGTTCACTAATACTTTCTATCCACGTGTCGATGGCCTTAGTATTCTTTTCTGCATTCTCCAGGCTTTTCACTTTAATCTGATGCTGTTTAAAGAGACAATGTGAAATCAGATAAGATGGAGTCCCATAAAACATGGTCCTATTGGTCTCACTGGACATAGAAAAATCTCCACATTCCTCTTTGATTTACAGAATTCACCCTGCCACTTACTGTGACACTGTGCTGCTTAGAATTCTCAGTTAGCCACAGGGCCATGACTGTAGGGTCAGACTGCTTGGTGGACGGCTCATCTAGGGTCATAAGACCAAGGTTATCTGGCTTCCCATTTGGCAGAGGGACCTACATAAATAGGGAATAAAATTATAGCAAATTAAATATTTCAAGAGCTAAAACATTCTACACAATCAAAGCCATGGAAATCTTTACATTGGGAGAGTGTAGAAACACCTTAAACACCATAACCACAAAAGCCTATTGTTTTGTTTATGGCACAAGAAAGATATAGGTGCAATTAATGTGACAGACTGCTGTTACAGTTAACCCTCTAGGTGCCACCAATCTGACAATCTATGGTGCCTATGACAATTGGCACTAGATAAAATGGTTAACTGTGATTCAGCACAGCAGGATCCTGCCTAACCATTGAAAAATTGAGTACAAACAGTGAGTGTCTTTATTATACAGTTTGAAGCATGGGGTGGCTTGGACATGCAATGGGTCCTCCTGTTTTCACCAAATCTCTTGAAAACAATTTTTAAAGAACCAGAGGAACGAAATCAATAACTGCCTTGTAAGCGATCCTAGTCAATAGACATACAAAAATGTAGGGCTCATTAAATAAGTCAGGTTTTCAAAACTGGTAAAGTGGACAGCTCCTGCAGTTAATTTACTATTCCCACATAAAAAAAAGAAAAGCCATTAAATTAAAAACCGTTTATTAAGTGCTCTTGCTACTAAGGTATCTGTTTATATATAGAAGAAGGTAGAATTACAAATAATACTTTGGCCAACCGCAAATATTTTCTGTATTGTCCAATTCTTTAATGCAGCTGAAAGCTGTTTTAACATAATGATCATCTTTAAATATCCATGCATGATCTTTACACATTTGCATTACCACATCAGAAAAGGGGTAAAACAAGGTTTAAGAAGACTATTTATGTTAATGATATGCATGAACACTTGAAGGTTTACTCTAGCCACCACAATCACTTTTGCTTTTAGAAGTGGTCATGGTGGTAGTAAACTGTGTGTGCGGAGTTTCTGTTTGAAACACTGCACATACAGAGATATCTTCACTTGCGTGCCAAAGGAGAGTTACATCCATGGTCCATGTGACTTAGACATTCCAGGACTCTGTTCAGGGCTGCTTTATATTGAACCTTGCAAGGATAGCAGTAGTGTCAGAGTGGGAGTGGAAACCAGCACAGGGAGCTTTGCCCGGTGCTGGATTCCAGGTAAGTTATCTTCATTTTATTTGGCTTTACGAAGGGAGGGTGGTACGTAATAAGTAATGCCCAATAGGGCATTCAAAATAAAAAATAAATAAATATTTAATTTAAAAAGGTTTAGAGTAACCCTTTAAAAATATAAACATGGAGAGACTACTGACTTGAGTTGCGAGGAATAAAAAGAATAAATATTTTTAGTTTTAAGAAATATGATCCTATATTAGGTCTATAGTTTTCTTCTGGTTTAAGGGGAAATTATGAGAAACCCTTCATGTTACATGATCTACCTTTAGAAATGCATCAATGTCCCCGACAGCAGGAATAAAATCTGGAATGAAAGGTTTCAATTTGTGATCCAATTCTACAGTCTGTGCAGTATATCTGGGGAAAAGGGATTAAAAGGCATATTATCGTATTATTGAACATTTTCATAAAACATCTATTTAAAAGGACACTCAAAGCCATAAGAAATGATGCTCCTTGTATAATGGCACAAGGAGGATCCTGTCCTTATCTCCCTGCCCACACTTGATGAGAACTATCACGATTTGCAAAAACCGGTCACTTCATTGCCTGAAATCATGGCCTGCAAGCACGTATAGCTAAGAGCACAGGCCATCAATGCACAGCTCTGTTAACAAAACTGAAAGTGATCTCAGCTTAGGCATCAATTCCATTCATCCAATATTACTAACGGAATTTCTGCCAGGCGCCTTGATACATATCTCGGAAATTTCTGCTGGACACAGGTGTATGGGATATATTCAGACTTAAATGCACAGAATGATTACCTGAGCCATTCTCGTGGGAAATACAGGAATTGTAAACAAGAGTATTCTATCTTTTATAATTAAATGTAAACTATTGAATGGTTACTCCAAGCACCGTAACCACTTCAGTGTTTTAAAAGCGGCAATAGTGCTTGGAGTCTGTATGTGCAGTATTTCAAACTGAAACCGTGTACATACAGAGATATAACAAAGTGCTGCCGGGGGTGTAAATTCACCTCCAGGAGCAATATTAGTCAGCTTGGAATGAGAGTTTCAGGCTGGCTAGTGTTAATTTGGTGCATAATGCTTCTGTGCTCAATATAAACTCAAATCTGGCATGAATATATTGGGTTGGTGTAACTAAAATGAAGTATGCCGAAAAGGAAATTTATTTAAACTGTCAGTTGTTCAAAATGAGTTTAAAATGTATGCCCAAAGAAAATTATCCAAGTCAACTATGCTTACAGTTCTACTGTACTGCTACTTTGGCCTTAAAGGAACACTATAGGCACCCAGATCTCTTCATCTCAATGAAGTGGGGTCTGGGTGCCATGTCAACTGAATTTTAACCATACTGCTGAAAACATTGCTGTTAGGTAGGAAAGGCAATGTTTTATTTGCAGGGTTAACCTGCCTCTAGTGGCTTTCATACTAACGGGCACTAGGGGCGCTTATGTGAAGTTTTACTATTTTTATCAGACGGTCTCAGAGAAACCATCTGGTTAGAGCAGCGAGGCGTTTTACAGCAGATGCGCACTAGTCACTCAATGCTTTCCTAAGGGAAAGCATTGCATTAGCTGGGATCTACAATGATTTCAGCAAAGTTGGTGGGACCGGCCTCAAACAGAGCAGCATTAAAAAAAGTTAACTTTTAACCAGTGACTAGAGTACTATAGAGTTACAGTGTTTCTATAACATTTAAAACTCCTGACATTTCTCACTTTAGCAAATAACCATGTGACTATTTTAGACTTCTAAACTTGGAGGCTTCCTGATAAAAGTCATGCTTCTCTCTGTTTAGAAATGTATCTGTTTCTGTCATATTAATCCTTAAATTGTCAACATAATCATATGTTGCTGTACTACTGTCATGCCCTGGACCATAATCTCACCTGGTAATATACTGAAATAATTCTTTGATCTCAGCTGTCACTGGGAGATGTTCAAAGTCTGCTGGATTATAATAACTGTATAAGAAAGAAAGGGGAAAACACATTGGATACACCAATAAAAAGAGAAAGGAGCAGTATTGTCCAGTATAAGAAAGAAAAAACATGCATGCCTGTGGCAAACTTTAAATGGTTAGTGTATTCAGTAAATAGCTTTTGAAACGGGAAGTGTTGAGCAAGCATAGCATTTTCATATACAGACAGTACAAACAGATAGGCCAATTGACTATCTTCCAACACTTTAAGCATGAGCAGTGTACTACCATTACAGATTGAGTATAAGATGCAATTTCTTAAAGGGTTACTCCAACCCTTTAGAGGGGGTGAGGGGAGGCTTTTCTGTATAATATGCCCTTACTGTCTCTTATTCAAAACTAAAGCTAAATGTTCTTTGTGGTGAAACATGCCATTCATTTCGACTGTTTTATCTTTTCATACATTCGGGAGTTATTGTACCCGAACACACTTAATTCAACTCCCGAACGAGAACCACCCCTGTACCTCATTAGAATTTCATTAAAACACCAGTTAACATAAGTGCAAAACCGCAAGGAAAATAAATTAGTGCTTCCCCTGGGTGGCTGCCATTTCGTGTAACCGAATGCACATGGTCAACAAAAGGATGGCGGACATTTTGTCTCTCAAACGTAGGCACTAGCACGAAACCCAGCAAAGATTGTACCGCTGCCCGTTCCACTTCCCGACCAGCTATGCAAAGGACATTCGGAATATAGGAACTACCGACTGGGGGATGCATTCGCTCCTTGAAATCAAGGAAATATCTTGTACAGTGTTCGCACAGGAACCCCAGAACGAGACTGGCCATTGCACCTATTTCCCTTGAACTGTTTTGGGCTTTTATCTCGAGGCCGGCAGGTCAGTATTTTACCCTGGGAGCAATTCTATTCTACCAAACGGATCTGAGCGCTATTCGGACAAGTTGGGCGCTCAGATCAGGGCTATCCGGGGAATACGAATTCCTGTTAATATTGGGGGTATTTTTTTTGTATTGTATAAATATTATGTATGTTTCCCTGTAACTGAGAGATAATTGAGTTATAGTTTCTGACTCAATTATCTCCCAGACACAGGGATGCCTGGGAGTGGCTTGCTATGTTTCTGTATAGAGACACCCTGCTGGGGGTCTGTGTACAATTTGAGAGAGTTTGGCCTGAATAAACCAGATAACTCACAGAACTATGGCTCATCTAGTTACTGGGGGGATGCGAGCTAAATCACACAACGGTTCCAGTCTGGCTGAGAGGATAAATAGCGGAGGTAACCAGTCGGGTTACCCGGAGTCCGCTACATCCTTTAAAGTTAATTGGTGCACAACGACCCTTCAATTCCCTTGCTTCTAATACTTTTCTGTGTTATTTTGAACTGTTTGACCAGGGCCACTCTTTGGCCCCTGCTCTTTGAAGACTGTGTCCTCAATTACAGCTGCCATTTATTCCTACCTCAACATAGCAAGTCTGCCTCTTGCCAGATATACAAAATGCCATAGCTGATGCAACAAAAAGATTTAAATAAAAAAACAAAAGAAAATCTAAGATATATTTGTTTTTATTTTCCTATATGATGTATTTAGTTTTCAAATCAAGCTTTAGCCTCCCTTACCCATCGTTAGAGTCTCCATGCTCTTCATCATCGTCATCATCATCGTCGTCGTCATCATCATCATCGTCGTCTCCATCATCCGTGTCCTCTGAATCATCATCATCATTGAACCTTTGTGGTGGGACCCCTCGTACTTGACCAAGCTTCTTTTCCTTCTTATTACCATCCTGGAAAAAAATGTTTTTTTAATAACAACCAACAAAGTTAATCAGGTCATAGAAGGGTATAGAGTTCCTACTGAATTTCTCATGCCATAAGTTCGGAAAAAAACCTCTAACTTAATTAGAGGCCCATTAAACAGAATCACTAACATTAGAAATACAAGTATTTCTAACAATATAGTTTCCTACTGCCTATTAAGATTTAAGGGCCTCGCAGTAATTCTAAATTAAGAATATCTACATATCTTTCACCGCCGGCATGCTGGTCACGCCATGGCCACCACTCCGTCCCTGCTGAGATCATTATTACTGATGATCTCAGCAAATCCAATGCATCTTCATAGAGAACTAAAATGCATACCAGGCTCAGCCAATCACTAAACGAGGTTAATTGGAGTTATATTCAACATAGGCTGATAAGCAAATGATCATCTTAGATGCTATTACATTAGACTTATGTTTTAACTACCACCAGCCTCAGTCAGAATAACAGGAATTGTAGCCCAGCAGAAGCAAGTAACTTCTATTTAAAATGATGGGACATAAAAGCCCAAAAGAGCGGCTTATAGTTTGTTTTTTTGATCTGTCAGCCCTGCATAGAAAGAGAAATATAAAAACAGAAAACAACAGAACAGATTTATGCTTACAGAATAGTGAATAAAAAAATTTAATTGCATGACAGCCAGACAGCAGGTTTGATAACGTGCTTGTAACTCACTCAGCCATGGGCAGCATGTGAGTATAACTTGCCTTCCATATCGACAGATACTTCTCCAGAATGGCTGCAGGGATGCTATGTGCCAAATTAAAAAGGAGCCTATTTTGCCTGCACTTCATCTGAGTAGCCAAAGGGAAAATCAATGCACCCTGCAACTGCTGCATATATTTATCTATGCTACCAATGTTAACAAAACGTAACAGCTGGTTGTGTGGCAAAGTATCTAGAGCATGCTGTGGGTGTGCAGACACCAAACACAAAAGTGGCATAAAATTATTAATGCTAGTCATGATGAGTTTGTACTGACTGGCTGAATGATGGCCAAGGAGACAGTTATTCATATACAAATACCCAAACAGTTCTATTTCTAGAAATAAACATTTTTAAGAAGAAAGGCTTGCGGGGACAGAGTTTTGGCACTATATCCATACGGTGCTTAGAGTGACTAAATGACAGCTGATTAAGGAACAATTTTGGAGCAAAAATTCTAAATTAAACATATCTGTCACTTGCTCAAGAAAGAAAATGTTACATCTAAAAAAAATATGAAAACTCCAACAACATTGCCAATTCCTTCTATGTGCAAAGAACAATATACAGGGATGTCTTTGTTTTGCATTGGGAGCTATAGTGAGAATTTATCTGGTGTACATGATTACACACAATACTGTATCTGCTTGTGGTATTACCATGGTACTATCCTCCTCTTCACTGGTTACATTTGGGTCTGTCATTCCTCCAAGTCTGTTCACCTTGGGCTTAAAAGGAGCTAAAAAAAAAAAGGACAATAATAACCAAATTACACACAAATTGCTATACTTATTTTTTTCCTCTTAAAAAGATCTTCCAGTATTGTATTATTTTAACTAATCAAGGCCAATAAAAGGCCAAAGAGTCAACGAACCATTCATCTTTAAATTGAAGGGTCCACACTAAAGACCTTCGGACAGCGGAATGGCCGACACCAACAGTTTAAGGGTTTTTTTGGTTCTTTTTCATTTTCTTAACCACTTAAATGCTTTTCATTTATTGGATGTATAGTTGGGATCTCTACTGTAGCAGGAAGTTAAAACTGTGGCAGTATCGGTCATTCAGTAGCAGTGTGACCTTATAGTCCCTGCTATTATAGCGATATTAAGCATACATACAATTGTGGCATGCAGTGTAATAGTTAATCAAACTCCAGAGTCAGACTCCTAAGAGAAGCTTACAGTGCAATATGCGGGCAGACAGTCACACACAACCTTTGGCTCACTATATTTGACAGTTCAGTAGCAGCACTGGTGTCTTTTTGTTATTTCCAGAGTTGTCCAGGACAAGGGCAATAAAGGTCTCACCAACAGGTCCCATTTCTGGGTCACCATGGTGACCTAGGATTTCTCAAGCCCTCAGCTAAAGGGCCTCAAAGTAATTCAAAGCACTTAAACAAAAGATAGGCAGAGGACTAGGCAGCTATACCCGGGGTCTGTACTTTTCTAAATATATGTGGACTGCGCATCTTTGATTGCAATTGTAATGAATGAAGCTGTGTCACGGACATTTGCACAGTACACATATGAAATAGCTGGCAATGTCAGTTGTTGAATAACTGGTGTCTTGTCTAGACAGCAGATACCCCCAGTCTTGTATTATTGGGAACCTTTGTGGGACCTGAAAGGTGAATACTTATGCTCCAATGGTCATCTGTGACTTCCTGCAACAGCTAATATAAAGTCACTGTGATCAACTTATAAATCGTACTCCATGATTACAATGTAATACATAGTTGCAGATAAGGGTGCCACCACTGCTGCACACATCCTCTCTCCACCCCCTACCATTTTTATATTTATAAATAAAATTAAACATTTCTTCTCCAATCTCTACCAAAATAATTTGACCACTTACCAAGGATCAGCCCCATGGTTTTCCTAGCAATATCACCACTATAGAATTCCACACTCGTTATGATGTTTGGAGTGTTCCTTTAAAAGGACCACTATAGGCACCCAGACCACTTCAGCTTAATGAAGTGGTCTGGGTGCCTGGTCCAGCTAGGTTTAACCCATTTTTATATAAACATAGCAGTTTCAGAGAAACTGCTATGTTTATATTAGGGTTAATCCAGCCGCTAGAGGCGCTTCCGTGCTTCTCACTGTTATTTTCACAGTGAGAAGACGCCAGCGTCCATAGGAAAGCATTGTGAATGCTTTCCTATGAGACTGGCTGAATGCGCGCGCAGCTCTTGCCGCGCATGCGCATTCAGCCGAGGAGGCGGAGAGTCCCCCGCCCAGCGCTGGAGAAACAGGTAAGTTTAACCCCGGCGGGAGGGGGAACCTGAGGGTGGGGGCACCCTCAGGGCACTATAGTGCCAGGAAAACGAGTATGTTTTCCTGGCACTATAGTGGTCCTTTAAAGGTGAAAAGTCACAGTTTGGGATAGTATATTTTGCACAATTTTGTTTAGGGCTATCAAAAAAATTTGAAGGTAGCGTGGCCTGACTGCCATGCTGAATGGCTGCACATGGAGTGAACACTGTGCAAACTATCATAATAGTGAAATTACCTACAGCTATCTGCTTGAACAAACTTTTGCCACATGTGCTGGGGACAACTTACACTCAAAAAAGCTGACATCTAAAGTTGATGCACAGCGAGCAGTTTACCTTTGACCAACCTCTGCGGCCTACCTAAGGGAGCAGGCGAGGGAGAAGCGGCTGATCTCACCGCTGGTATTCTGTCTGGTCTTGCGGACGACGGAGAGGCACCAACAACTCGGCCCTACTTTCCTACTAATGGAGGGGCTGCACAAAGTCTGCAACACTGTTCCTGCTAACATGGCAGACAGTAACACAATCTTTGCCAACTTCTGGCTGAAATTGAGCCATAAGTAACGTCAGGCTAAGGAGCCTAGATGGAGTGGCAGATCATCGCTGCACTCACCTGCGGATGGCCAGCATTTTGCGTCTGCAGCTATTAGTTGGAATGCTATCACACCCATTTGCCCGAAGCAGCCAAAGAAGAAGATACTATCCTCAGTTGCATGTCTTCTTCTCGGGTTTTCCACTACCCGCCCTCCCGGGCTGAGGGTCATGAGGGGACAACCCCTGGTGCACAACTCACACCCACGGAGGGGGAATTGTCTGAGACAAGCTAAACCTCGATCTATCTGGCACTTTGATTGCAGCACCAAGTGTGACTGGATCATTGAGGATAGCACATGGGCTCTCCCTGAGGCCTGGGGCCAATGGCATAGCCAGTCTTGATGACCGGGACAGTACATCCTAATGGGAATCTCATAGCTAGTTTGGGAATTGGGTGATTGCATTTATACAGGGTGGTGAGCATGGTGCATGGCACGGTTTACAATTAACCTTTTAGGCGAGATCAGTTCCTAGCACCAGGGAGGATGCTATAACATGCCTACCAGTGGTATGTTTATCATTGGCACTGCTGTCTTGCTTCTCTTTTCTTTGAAATTCCGGTAGAAATCAGATGTATGCTTTAAAATGTTTTGTATACAGTTTCAGTACCATTTCACAATTTGAACAGAGTATTGGTGTCTAATCTGAGCTGACAATCCTACCTGGGCGACTGTTATTCTGCTAGTTGTTTTCCTCCTCAGCTCTGGCTGTGTTATACCAGTCATCCTTTTACATAACTTTACATCTCAAGATGATCTTCTTAACCTGCTCAGCATTTTCTAAATATTTCAGAAACAAGACATGTTTATCCTTGTGAAGAAATCCCTCTTTGTGTTCGTTATTTCTCCCCTTTTCATTCGGTAGATGTAACTACTGAACAGAAACCACCCCCCCGGCTCGTTAACTTCAAAAGCATGCTTCAATTAAACCCTCTACCTGTGCCATCTTGTTTGTGCGAACAAAGGCAGCGGGACTTGGTCGTTGAGTGTCTGGAACTAATATCGGACACTCGACTTCCCGAACACCGGTCCCAACATACGAACGCTGGATCTTTGTTTCTCGAACAGTTAGGAGAGCGCTGTTCAGTACTTTTGTGCATTTGTATGAGGGGAACAATCGCTGCTAGGAGCCAGGGGAAACCGTTTGTGGGATTATTCGTTTATTTCAACTTCACGAAATAGACCGGCAAAACCACCCAAACTCATGAAACGGTTTTTGGGCAGCAGCCTTGTGGGAAGCCGGTCACTTAAGACCTCCATGGAATTTGAGAACCACTGAACTGATCTGGGTGATTTTCGGACATGTTGGTCACTCAGATCAGGGCTATCAGGGGACTTTTAAGGGGATACCCCATGTTTTTAGAGGTGTTCTGAAAGTTGGGGAAAACTGTACTTTTTCTGCCTGGAGATAATGAAGTTATTATGTTATCTGCCATGAATTATCTCCAGGTCCAGGGGAGGGAATTGTATGTTTACAATGGGAGTGAATAACAATTTTTCTTGTTATGATTGGCTGTACCATGTCCCTCCCTGTGGGATGTCCCCTTGCACGGGGACTTGCATAAAAGCCAGTGTGGCACAATAAAGCTCAGTTCTTTTGCACCCTTCTTCTAGACTCTGGCTGATGTTTGGATATTCGTAGGCTGTACTAAGGGAATTGTCTGGTAAAGCTATTGCATTCGTATGGGAATCGTTTATTTTATCTGCCGAATGGAGAGTTATAGTCACTGATGCTCTGGCTGTTCGGAAGGAAACTACCGAATGAGTATTGGATATACTTGGTTTCCTTACAATCCTCTTTATCTTCTGTTATAATGCTCTACTGTATACAGGAAGTCTAATGTTTGACTGTTGACCTCCTTTGGCTCAATAAAAAATGGTTGACAAAAAAAAAAAATGTAAACAATCTGAAGATGTTAAAGTGAGTCACGTACAAGGGTATATGCCAAACTAATCATTCATATTTACAAAAAATCTCTAGTTTAGGAAGCCATTATATAGTGCTAGTCTTCCTAACCTTGGTTTCTGGGAGTTGGAGTGTACAGACTTGCAACCTCTTCTGAGTCGTTGACCTCAAGACTTTCGTCGTATGGCTGGTTCTGAAATAACTTTGTCTGTAATAAACAACACAACAACCCTGTTAACTGTGCGTACATGTATGACCCCAGCTCCCATAATCTTGAAACACACTTTTTTGACCTATTTTACTTTTCTTGCAATTGTATTTATCTTGTAATACTCATTATTTAGATTCCCAATATAAATATTTGTTATTAATAGAACAGAGCAACAGCCCCTTACTACAACTCCTAATGATCTATCTCCAGTCTTTCAATAGTAATATTGTAAAGCGCTACGGAATCTGTTGGCGCTATATAAATGGCAATAATAATAATAATAATAATAATAATAATAATAATAATAATAATAATAACAACAACAACAACAGTACACTGCTATCTACCAATTAGACGACAATAGTATAGTATTATGGTTCTCCATACAACTAATTTTGTGGTTCCTAACATTTTCTTACCCAAATTATCTTCATTCTTCAAATGTATTATAATATATACTAAACTCAAACTTGCACAGCACCTATGGTATTAGACTTTGCCAGAGTATAAAGGTTACCAACCCCTTGGGAACTGCCCTGTGGCTACAGTAATCCCTTTATTGTGGATAGCAAGCAGATGCCTGATTAAAGGACCACTATAATCAGGTGAGGAAGTGGTTCTAGAGGGAGGAAGGGGGTTAAACACTCACCTTTCTCCAGCGCAGGGCTCCCTCGGCGGTGGGGACTCTCCGCCTCTTTTCCCGCCATCGGCAGAATGCGCATCACGAGCCGCGAGCGCATTCAGCCAGTCCACAGGAAAGCATTCACAATGCTTTCCTATGGACGCTGGCGTCTTCTCACTGCGAAAATCACAGTGAGAAGCGCCTCTAGCGGCTGTCAATGAGACAGCCACTAGAGGCTGGATTAACCCTATTATAAACAAAGCAGTTTCTCTGAAAATGCTATGTTTACAGCAGGCAGGGTTAACCCTAGCTGGACCTGGCACCCAGACCACTTCATTGAGCAGAAGTAGTGTTGGTGCCTAGAGTGGTCCTTTTTAACCCTTTACCCAAGGGTTAAAAACCAGTGAGTTAGGGTCTATCTATTTTACCTCACTATATCCAAGGAGCAATAAAACACAGTTACCTTCAGCCCCTCTGACTCTGCCTCCTCCATCCTTCTCCTGCCCTCCTAACTGCCGAATACAGCCACAGCGGCCCAGGTTACCTCGATTCTCTATTTCAAGGGGGGGCAATTCTCTCGTAGGCCTACAGTTCGGTCACCATGGAAACGGCGGCCACACTTCCGCTGCCATCTAAGCCATAGCGACCAGGACTTCACCTGTTCCGTCAGATTGCTATACCTTGTCAGATTGCTATACCGGAAGTGACGCGGCCGCACCGGAAGTGACGCGGCCGCACCGGTAATTTCATTGAACAGCTGGAGGAGGAGGAGCGCAGCGCCGCGCATGCGCAGAAGATCAGGTAGGTAAAATTTACAGGCAGTGAGAGGAGAGGAGGCCGCCTAATGCGCATGCGCGAACACAACACTGCGCCTGCGCCTGGAGACAAGAGGCGGGGGAGGTAGGGGCCAGTGCGCACGCGCGTCTAAGTACTCCCGTCGGGCACAGACAGCGGGATACACCGCGCGTGCGCACCAGCGGGCAGGGAGATCGATTCAGCCGAACATTCATCCGATCTCCCTGCCCCACACTGCGCACGCGCCTACCCAGCCAGGAAAGCCACGGACACCGCGCATGCGCACTGAGGGGGTATAGAAATCTGATGGCCATATCTTCTGCTAAGAAATCTCCTACCCCTGAGTGCGCATGCGCGGTGTCTGATCCACTGCATCCAGACATCCATCAGGTAAGCCTTGCTCCCAACACTCTCAGCCATCAGGGGGGTCTGTGCCTTATTGGGGGGGGGGGGCTGTCCAGTATTGGGGGGTCTGTGCCTCATTGGGGGGGTCAGTGCCTTATTGTGGGGGGGTCTGCGCAGTATATGGGGGGCTGTCTCTATGGGGCCTGCGCAGTATATGGGGGCTGTCTGTAAATGGGGAGGTCTGCGCAGTATTTGGGGGTCTGCGCAGTATATTGGGGGGGTCTGCGCAGTATATGGGGGTCTGCGCTGTATTTGGGGGTCTGCGCTATATATGGGGGTCTGCGCAGTATATGGGGGCTGTCTGTATATGGGGGGGTCTGCACAGTATATTGGGGGGTCTGCACAGTATATGGGGGCTTTCTGTATATGGGGGCTGTCTGTATATATGGAAAAGAGTCTCTTGTGATATATGGGGGTCCTCTTGGTATATATGGGGGTCTCTTGGTATATGAGAGGTCCTATGCAGTATATGGGGGGCTGTCTGTATATGGGGGGGTCTGCGCAGTATATGGGGGTCTATGCAGTATATGGGGGGTCTGCGCAGTATATGGGGGTCTGCGCAGTATATGGGGGGTCTGCACAGTATATTGGGGGGTCTGCGCAGTATATGGGGGGGTGCGCTGTATATTGGGGGGTCTGTGAAGTATATTGGGGCGGCCTGTGTGTTAGATGTGGGGGCAGTGTGTTAGATGAAGGGGCTGTTCGTTACATGTGGGTGGGG